GTGCAGGCAGGGCCCCAAGCCCTACAGGGGGTGACTGACAGGCTGAAAGTTTGTGAGCCTCCCAGGTACACTCTTACAATCTTCTATTAATGGCTTCTTTTCCTTTTCCATTTCAGCCTTTATGTCCTAATTTGTTTGTGCTGCTTCAACAAAATATCACAGACTGGGTAATTTATAAGGAACAGAAAGTCCAAGATCAAGGCGCGGCCACTTGGTGTCTGGCAAGGGCCTTCTTCCTGCATCTTCACACTCAGGAAGAGCAGAAGACAAACCCATTCCCTCAAGACCGTTCACAAGGGCTCTCATCCCATCTATAACTTCACTGCCTTCTAAAGGCCCCACCTCTTAATACTATCACAAACTCATGCTCAGTTTCAACACATGAATTCTGGGTGACATTCAGACCGTAGCACTTATTTTTCTTCCCTTAACGGACTGGCTAGGTCCTTCAGTCTAATGTTGAAACAAGTGGTAATGGTGGGCATTCTTGTGCTCTTGGTTTCAAAGAGTACGTTTCCAATGGTTTACTATCAACTGTGCTTTTTGTGGTGAGTTTCTGTTTTTTGTTTTTTTGGTTTTTGCAAGTGACCTTTGCAGGTTAGGGGATTTCCTTCTATTCCAAGTTGCTAAGACTTTTGAAAAAACAATCATTAAAGAACGCCAAATTTTATCAAATGCTTTTCTTCATCTACTGAGATTATCACATTTTTTCCTTTAGTCTTTTAATATAGTGAGTTACATTAGTGATTTTTCTAATGTTAAACTAAAATTGAATCTTGAGATAAGCTCTACCTGGTCACAATGTACTATGCAGTCCCTTTATCGGTGCGTTTGGTTTATTTTTAAATTTATGATTCAGCATCTTTGTTTGTGAGTGAGACTGGCCTGTACTTTTTATTTACGGAACTATCCTTACTAGATTGGAGTTTGAGGTTATGCTGGCCCCATAAAAATGATTTGGAGCTGGGTGTGGTGGCTGTCACATGTAATCCTAGCACTTTGGGAGGCTGAGGTGAGAGGATGGCTTGAGCCAAGGAGTTTAAGACAAGCCTGGGCAACATAGCAAGACCTACAGAAAACATAGCAAGTCTCTACAAAACAATTGTAAAAATTATCCAGGGGTGGTGATGCACACCTGTAGTCCCAGCTACTCAGAGGCTGAGACAAGAACTTGCTTGAGACCAAGCGTTTGAGGCTGCAGTGAGCTGTGATCACACCACTGCACTCCAGCCTGGGTGACGGAGCAAGACCTTGTCTCAAGAAAAAAATTTTAAAAAAACAGAAAAAAATGATTTGGAGATCTTTTGCTTTTTCTCTTCTTCTTCATGTAAAGCTTGGAAATCTGTATTCCTTGCATAGTCAACAGAAGTCATCTTTAAAACCTCTGAGCTGCTGGTCCCAGCACTTTGGGAGGCTGAGACTGGTGGATCATTTGAGGTGAGGAGTTTGAGACCAGCCTGGCCAGCATAGTGAAACCCCGTCTCTACCAAAAATACAAAAATTAGCTGGGCGTGATTATTGGTGCCTGTAATTCCAGCTACTCAGGAAGCTGAGACAGGAGAATTGCTTGAGATCCCATCACTGCACTCCAGCCTGGGCGACAGACCAGACCGAGACTCCATCTCAAAAAAAAAAAAAAAAAAAATCTGAGCCTAGGGTATTCTTTGTGGGAAGAATTTTTTAATTTTTTTCTTGTTTATCATTTTTCAGATATAATTTACATAGAGAGAAATGGTCAGATCTTAAGTAAACCATTCGGTCAATTTAATGAAAAGATACCAAGATGTAGAACATTTGTTGTTTCCTGCCCTGCCACCATTGCCTGTGGTCTGATTTCTAGCACCATAGGTTAGTTTTGCCTAATCTAGAATTTACCTTAAGTGGAATCGTACAGTGTGTACTTTTTGTGTCTGGCTTCTTTCACGATTAAGAGACATCCATGTTGTTGCATGTTTCAGTAGTTTGGTTCTTTTCATGGCCAAATAGTAGTATGTTTTATGAATCTACCAGGGTTTTTTTCCTTTAGCTGTTCTTCTGTAGGCAGATATTGGGGTGGATTCCAGGTTTTGGTTATTGTGAATAAAAGACTATACTTCTGTATAAGGCTTTTTGTACACATATGTTTTCGTTTCATTCCAATAAGTACATTAGTCTCTCCTTATTTAAGATTTCACTTTCCACAGTTTCAGTTACCCTCCATCAACCACAGTCCAAAAATATGAAATGAAAAATCAATTCATAAGTTTTACATTGTGCACCGTTCTGAGTAGCATGATGAAATTTTGTGCTGTCCTGCTGTGTCCTACCCAGGATGTGACTCGTCTCTTTATCCGGCGTCTCCACGCTGTATACACTATTGTACTATGTATATTGTACTATGTATACTATGTATACACTAATATACTATGTATATTGCCCTATACAATGCAACTATATAGGAAAAAACATAGTGCATATAGAGTTTGTTACTATCCAAAGTTCAGACATCTACTGAGGGTCTTGGGACATATGAGGAGGGACTACTGTACCTAGGAGTGGAAGAGCTGATCAAGGTTAACATTTTTAAAACCTGTGAAATAGTTTTCCAGTGGATGAGAGTTCCAGTCACTCCAGATCCCCTCCAACATTTGTGGTGTCCATCTTTTTCACTTTATCCATTCTAATATGTGTGTACAGGTATCTTATTTTAATTCGCATTTCTCTAATGAATTATGATGTTGACTATGATACCATGTGCTTTTTGGCCATTAGTATATCTTCTTTAGCAAAGTGTCTGTTCAAATTATTTGCTCATTTATAATTGGTTTGTAAAAGTATTTTATATAGTCTGGATACAATTCCTTTGTCAAATATAGATAGGTAGGTAGGTAGATTAGAGAGAGAGAGAGAGAGAGAGAGAGAGAGAGAAACAGCAGATATTTTCTCCCAGACCATGGCTTGTGTTTTCAGTCTCTTAATTTGTTTGAAGTCCAGCTTACCAATTTTTTTTCTGTTATAGTTGGTGCTTTTGTGACATAAGAAATCTTGCCATGTTCCAAGTATGTGAAATTTTCTCTGTTAATACCTATAGGATTTAGTTATTTCTCTTCTTTAATTTCTATTGGTAATTTGCACTTTCTCTTTTGGGGGGACAGGACTGATTATTCCAGCTAAATGATTATTGATTTTATTGATATTTTCAAACCTTAGTTTGGCTGATTTCTTTTATGTTTGCCCATTATATTTTATTGCTCTGCTTTTGTTTTTATTATTTACTTACTTCCTCGTAATTTGGGCTTAGTCAAATTTGGAAATTTTTCAGCCATTACTTTGTGGAATATTTTTTGCCCCTTCGCCTTTCTGCAACTTAAATTACAGGTATATTAGGCAGCTTAATATAGTTCAAAGGTCGTTGAGGCTCTATTTACCTTTTATAAGCCTTTTCTGTTCCCGTGCTTCAGTTTGGATAATTTCCATGCTAGTCTTCAAGCTGACTAATCTTTCCTTCTGTAGAGTCTAGTCTGTTACTAAGCTCATTTCACAAACTTTTATTTTCAGATATTGTGTTTTTTATCTCCATAAGTTCAATTTGATTAATAACTTTCTTTTCTCTCCTCACTATGTTCATGTGTTGCTTTAAATTCTTCAGCATAGTGCTTTGAAGTGTTTGTCTATTGCATCGCCTCTGTCATTTCTGAGTTTGATTTGATTGATTTTTTTTCATTACAAGTCACATTTTCTGGCTTCTTGTCATGTCTAGTGCTTTTGGGTTGGATGATGAACACTGGCAATGTTACACTGTCTGGATTTTGTTACCTTCTTTGAAAGAGCATTGGACATTTTCTCTCTCTCTCTCACACACACACACACACACACACACAGGTCTCCAGGAAAGTAGGAGGATGCCTCTTTCTTGTCACAGGAATGTTGGATGTCTCCTCACACCCTTCTGGGTAGGACCTAAGATAGCTCTGCAGGGCTCTCTCACCAACAAGGTCTGTCCCTGTGATCTACTGTCAGAAGAGCCTATCCCTCTGCTAGGACGAAGTCAGACCCCAGGGCTCTGTGACTCTCCAGCTCCTTTTGCGGGGAGCAGTAGTAGAGATGGAATAAAAGTACAGCTCTTTTCCAAGGAAATTTCTTCACAAAATCCTTTCCCACCCCTTTTTCTATCCTCCTCAGTATGGGGTCTAGAGTTGCCAAATTGGTTCTTGAAATCCCTTTTGTTACACTCATACGCAGGAGTTTTGTCAGCTCAGTTGGAGACCCCTATTTTAACATCCTGTTACCAAAGGTGTACAGGCATTGAGGTACTGTGTCCCGAGCCAGGCTGGATGTTTCTTGCGTAGCAGCCCTGAGAGACGGAGGCTGTCAGTGTGTTTTATAAATGAGGCAGAAACAACTTCATTCATTATTTTTGCATACTATCTATTTTTGCTTACTATCTATCTATCTAGATAAAGTTGAGTACAGCATCTGTATTCTTTATGTTTGGCTTCTTTTTTCTTTTTTTTTTTTTTTTTTTTTTTTT